ATAATCTCACATTAGTAAATAGATTTCTCGTGTGATTGATACAGGACTGTTAAAAAATGTAAGAGAGTAAAACAATTTTTCTTTCTCTCTCTCTAAAAGTGGAGAGGGGCCTGTTGAAGCGGGGATTTTAATATTATATATTATTGTAATTGAAAGATTAAATTAAAAAGTATTTTGTATTTCAAAGAAGTATTTTGTATTTCAAATAAAAACTTAAAAGTATTTTGTATTTTGTATTTCAAATCGAAAGATTGAAAGTATTTTGTATTTTGTATTTCAAATCAAAAGATTGAAAGTATTTTATATTTTGTAATTATTGTATATTTTGTAAAAATACTAAGATTCCTAGTACTTTGTACTTTGTATTTTAAATACTTTAATGGTGTATTTTGCCCAGCCATGGTCACGATATGCATCTTCCCGATGGCTTGGTGGCGTATTAAAATAAAGAGTGACCCTAAAAACAGGCCAAAAATGTCCTGTATTCTCGCCCTCGATTCCGGACTTTATTTTGGTGATAAATGACAGTAAACCATGAGACACTAATTTTCTGAAACTTTCAAATGGAGCATACTTTTCGTTGGCAAGTTATGAAGCCTTAAAGTTATCATTTTATACCGTGTTTCTCGAAACGGATCTTCGCATGCGAATAGCTTTTAGGCAAAGCAATTTTGGGAAAAATGTTTCAGACAAAAGTTGTAGGATGTGAAATGGTACACAAAATAATGACCTTTACTGTGACCTTGAAGACACTCCTGAAGGTCATTTGGAGGTCAACTTTTGATTTTTAAATGAGAACTTTTATTTATATAGTAACGCTTGGGAGTGAAATAATTATTAGTATTTTTTTGGACTGGGGGTTGAATAATAGAGGTGGCTTTGGGGTCAAAGTTGGTTTCATTACTTTTCTTATTGCTTATGTTTACAATAAGAAAGAGTTTCCACTCTTCTACTTGCTTGCAAATAATTTTTAGGAAAAGCATTTCGGATAAAAGTTTCAAATAAAAATTGTAGGCTTTGTAAAGTAAACAAGGCCATGTAAATGTAAATAGAAGAAGGCCTTTACTTAGACCTTGAAGACATTTCTAAAGTTCATTTCAAGATCAATTTCAGCTTTTCCAGTGAAAACTCTTTCTTATTGTAGAAATAAACAACAAGAAAAGTAATGAAACCAACTTTGACCTCAAAGCCACCTCTATTATTCGACCCCCAGTCCAAAAAAATACTTCCTAATAATCATTTCACTCCCAAGCGTTACTTTAAATAAAAGTTGTCATTTAAAAATCAAAAGTTGACCTTCAAATGACCTTCAGGAGTGTCTTCAAGGTCACAGTAAAGGTCATCATTTTGTGTACCCTTTCACATCCTACAACTTTTGTCTGAAACATTTTTCTCAAAAATGCTTTGCCTAAAAGCTATTCGCATGCAAAGATCCGTTTTGAGAAACACGGTACAAAATTATAACTTTGAGGCTTCATAATTTGCCAACAAAGAGTATGCTCCATTTGAAGGTTTCACAGAATTAATGTTTCATGGTTTACTATCATTTTTCACCAAAATAAAGTCCGAAATCGAAGGGGCGAGAATACAGGGCATTTTTGGGGTCACTCTTTCGTTATTATTCGAATAATAATAGAGAAGCGCAGAGAGAAATTAACTTACTGCAACCCCTGGGTGGTAGCGGAGGAGCGGGCTCAGGTCCAGGCTCGCTCCACGAAGTTCTGAGGCCGCTCTGGTCCACGCCGTCCGTAGGAGTGGGCAAGGAATGCCTCAATGGCAGTTTCGGACTCAGCGGCTTGCTGAGGGATCGCTGATGCGTGGGCCTAGGCGGGGTTGTGCCATAGCCGACGGAGCGCGGCCGTACTTCCCGCTGCGGAATAGGTGGCGGTACACCGTCCACTTTCGTGTAGAAACCCTCGTCCTCGGGAAGGCCGTCGCTGTCGGCGTGCGACGACCTGGAACCGACGGTCTCCAAGGTGGCCGGACGCTGCTTGTCGTTGACCGGCAAGGGTGGTAGGGGCGAACTAGAAAAGCAAAGAATACGACTTAAAATAGCCCTGTGATGAAAGCAGTTTAGAAGCTTTAACTCTAATACGATCATATGGAACAAACGAGCTCTATGGAGTTATTCGGGGTGATTGTTTTAACCTGAAACTTTCAAATATCTCGAAAAATAAGCACACTAGAAAAAAATGTTTCAGACAAAAGTTGTAGGGTTTCGAGGGGGACATAAGATGATAACATTGGTTTGACCCTGAGTGGCGTCGTCAAGGTCAGGACAAGGTCACTTTGAATTTTTCAAATGGAACTCCCAATTTTTCATTA